AAAGAATTCAATCTTGTGAAGAAATGATAAAGTCGACCCATGTTAGAACTATGGCTGATGACCAAACTACCATTGAATAGAATGTTTAACCAAATATTAAAACTAGCCTTAAATGTTTTTTTCAGCTTTTAGATACCATGCAGATTTTTGACTGAATTCTCTTGTGTGTACTGAACATGAATTTTAGATAATCAATTCACTGTGAATTGATGACACTACTTTTATTAAACGGCTTCGCCTAGCGCAGCTGGATACGACCACAGAGGTCCAACCCTGAACAGTTGGGGCAAAAATGGACACAATATTCAAGCTTGATACAGGTCTGAATTTGGATTGTAATTAAATATTTGACACATTATAGGTTTCTGACACAGAATAAATGTAGTCAAAGAACTTAAAATTGGTTGTATGATTTGAATTTATATTCAATTGAAGATTTCTTGCTGTTGTGCAATACTTAGTAAATCTGTTTTCAGACTATATACAAAGAGTTAGCAAAATAAATTGTGACCCCCAAATTTTTTCTTTGGAAAATTGACAATTTCTTAAATCTAGAGGGAAACAAATTGATCCCCCCCCCAAAAAAAATATTTGAAAAGAATTTCCTTTCGATGTAAAAAAATTTCCCCCCCTCCAAAATTGGCCCCTAATTCTTTTGACCGGTTTGGGCAATTACCCCCAAAATGAATCCCAACCTTCTACTTGTGGTATTGAACCTTTTGGTACAATTTCAGAGCAATCAAAATACTTATACACAAGTTATTGTCCTGATACTAGAAAAATGCTTGTTTTGGTCCCTTTTTGACCCCTTATTCCTAAACGGTTTAGACCATTACCCCCAAAAACAATCCCAACCTTCCTTTTGTGGTATTGAACCTTTTGGTTACACTTAAACTAAAGTTAATGGCTGGAAACCAAATGTCTTCGGACGACAACAACGCTGACGATGACGTGATACCAATATACAAAAACTTTTGCGACGTATAAAAAGTTCAACACAGTTAAGGATTGTATGACTGCTTGTAAACCTAATGATTCAAAACAGACACAACAAATTTTAGTACTGCCATTCAATGGATCATTATTTACAATCTTGATACACGTTTAAAAAACAATGGTGCTACTCTCTCAGATTAACTGCAGACTGCAATCATTTGTAAATGATCTCATATCTACAGACTACAGAAATGTTAAATCTTGTGGAAGATACCAAGCTAATAATTTGCTACATCAGATGCATGTTTTGTCTACATATAAGACTCATCAGTGCTAGATTCAAAACAGTTGCAAGGCTAAATTAAATACCAAGTTGAAAAGCATAGAAAATCAAATTTCCAAAAAGTTGTGCCAAACCATTTGCATAAACCTTTCAGTAAATGATGTGAGTCAGTCAAATGTAGTAAATAGATAACAGAGACCTATTAATTATCTCTTACTTTTAAGTTGAAAAAAGAGATTTCACAAAAGAGAGGGATAACACAGCCACTACATTTGCATTTTATGAAAAATTCAGTTTGTTCAATTATTTCGCTCTATTGAATACATTAATGACTCTACAGATACAAAAGTATGATATAAAAAAATGTCATTCAAATTTAACCATCCCATTTTCATATTTTCCCTTTACAATCTTACCAGTTTGCATTTAAAATCATTTATGCTTGAAAAATTTGATAAACTATCAATGTGCTTCCCTGTTCAATGTCATTAACAACTTCCATATAAAGAAATACAGCAATATTCTAAATCTTAGAATTAGACAAAATATTAGAAAAGATGTATCAGTACTAGAAGCAATTGTCATGCTGTTAGAGAATTAATGTGAAGATGATTAAAGTTTCAATTCACAAATGAGCTCATAACTTCGTGTCTTATATAGACATATAAAAAGATATATGTTCAATTACTAATGAGACCGTCGCCCACCAATATTAAAAGTACAGGAACTTAAGATCACCCAATAGCTACTAAATATGGATGAATGGCAAATTTATACATGTTGACTGGTAATGACATTCCTATATACTGCAGGATGTAGAGGGGGGGGGGGGGAGTGCATTTATTTTCGTGGATAACAACTTTCAAGGTTTGAGACATGATACATCTTATATTGTGGATACTGGATTTTGTGGATTTGTTAAAGTCTGTATACAAGCCGTTATAAAATGTGTATTTGGTTGAACATTTAGATGTGTGGTTTCCCTAGGCCTATACCCACAAAAACTGGTATCCCATTAGGGACGACATCAAAAGATCAATGTAGGATAAAAAACTTAAATCAAATAGTTTGGTGGGTGGGGGGGGGTTAAAATTGCTGCAAGTTTTGTTTATCCAAAATCTATTTTACATATATCCATATTGATCAATCAACTTTTCCCAAATTAAGTTAAGAGGGGGGTGGGGGGGTCAGTGAAAAAACTATGTGAATTAAGTTTTTAATCCTACATTGAACTTTTGATGTCGTCCCTTAATAATAATAAATCCACAGTACAATAGTATATATAACAAGAAATGATTGTAACAGGATGCTGTTACGAAGTCTCCCAAACGAAGCTCCCATAATTCGTAATTCCCAGGGTCGCCTGACATTGGGCAACGTCCAGTGAAAATTGGTTTGGTCCAGTAAAGTTATATGCATTAGTGATGCCTGGGGACTAACCTTGTATATCATTCAAATCATCTTGGCATGACAAACCAGAATATATATGGTTTAGGGGTGGGGATCTCGACCATTTACAAGATACTAGAATATTGGGGGTGGGGAGGAACCCCTGGGGACTGGCCCTATACGTCATTCAAATGTTCATTACATGACGAACAGGAATATATATGGTTTAGGGGTGGGGATCTCAACCATTTACAAGATATTAGAACATTGGGGGTGAGGGGAACCCCTGTGGACTGACCGTATACGTCATTCAAATGTTCGAGACATGACAAATAGGAATATATATGGTTTAGGGGTGGGGATCTCAACCATTTACAAGATATTAGAACTTTCTCAAATGGCAGGGGGTCGGGATGACCCCTGGGGACTAACCCTGTATATCATTCAAACCATCTTCGCATGACAAACCAGAATATATATGGTTTAGGGGTGGGGATCTTGACCACTTAGAAGATATTAGAACTTTCTTAAATGGCAGGGGGTGGGGGTGACCCCTGGGGACTAACCCTGTATTTCATTTGATGTGCTTTATCATGAAAAACCAGAATATATATGGTTTAGGGGTTGGGATCTCGACCATTTACAAGATATTAGAACTTTCTCAAATGGCAGGGGGTCGGGATGACCCCTGGGGACTAACCCTGTATATCATTCAAACCATCTTAGCATGACAAACCAGAATATATATGGTTTTGGGGGTGGGGATCTTGACCACTTACAAGATATTAGAACTTTCTTAAATGACAGGGGGTGGGGGTGACCCCTGGGAACTAACCCTGTATTTCATTTGATGTGCTTTATCATGACAAACCAGAATATATATGGTTTAGGGGTGGGGATCTCGACCATTTACAAGATATAAGAACTTTCTCAAATGGCAGGGGGTCGGGATGACCCCTGGGGACTAACCCTGTATATCATTCAAACCATCTTCGCATGACAAACCAGAATATATATGGTTTAGGGGTGGGGATCTTGACCACTTAGAAGATATTAGAACTTTCTTAAATGGCAGGGGGTGGGGGTGACCCCTGGGGACTAACCCTGTATAACATTTGATGTGCTTTATCATGACAAACCAGAATATATATGGTTTAGGGGTGGGGATCTCGACCATTTACAAGATATAAGAACTTTCTCAAATGGCAGGGGGTCGGGATGACCCCTGGGGACTTACCCTGTATATCATTCAAACCATCTTAGCATGACAAACCAGAATATATATGGTTTAGGGGTGGGGATCTTGACCACTTACAAGGTATTAGAACTTTCTTAAATGGCAGGGGGTGGGGTGACCCCTGGGGACTAACCCTGTATTTCATTTAATGGGCTTTATCATTTAGAACATTTTCAATTAAAAAGATTGTGTCTATCACGAACGGTTTTCAATTTATAATCATTTGAAAATTTTAAAAAATAAAATCCCATAGGGTTCTATAGTAAAACCCTCTTTTCTTTTTGCCCCTCAAAGTACCCCTTTATAAACCCCATTGCACAAACAAAACCCTGATTGCACCACTAGACATGTTAGTCTAACATATTGTGAAACCCTAAGTTAATCTGACAAGCGGTTTTGGAGAACGGGTGCGGACAAGTTCAAATTTAAAAGCGGCGGAAGAAGAAGAAGAATAATAATAATAATAAGAACTGAGCAAAAACAATAAGTCTTCCCAAACTTCGTTTGGGAGACTTAATAACACACATTTTGTCAGGCCTCTTTTAAGAAGGACTTTACTGCAATTAAAACATTTTTACTGGCCTGGGCTGCCGGGCTTGTTGTTACTGCAGAATGCCATGGTTTGATGGAATCTTACCTGTAGAGGACAGTCTGTGTGGGCTCCATATGTATTACACATTTTGTGGTTTGATGGAATCTTACCTGTAGAGGACAGTCTGTGTGGGCTCCATATTTATTACACATTTTGTGGTTTGATGGAATCTTACCTGTAGAGGACAGTCTGAGTGGGCTCCATATTTATTACACATTTTGTGGTTTGATGGAATCTTAACTGTAGAGGACAGTCTGTGTGGGTTCAATATCTATTACACATTTCGTGGTTTGATGGAATCTTACCTGTAGGGGACAGTCTGTGTGGGCTCCATATTTATTACACATGTTGTAGTTTGATGGAATCTTATCTGTATAGGACAGTGAGTGTGGGTTTCATATCTAGTACACATTTTGTGGTTTGATTTAATCTTACCTATAGAGGACGGTCTGTGTGGGTTCCATATCTATTACACGTTGTAGTTTGATGGAATCTTACCTGTAGAGGACTGTCTGTGTGGGTCCCATATCTAGTACACATTTTGTGGTTTGATGGAATCTTACCTGTAGAGGACTGTCTGTGTAGGCTCCATATCTATTACACATTTTGTAGACAGTTTTATCTCTGTAAAATACCAGAAAACAAATTTTAAAAACATAATTCTGAAAAAAACAAACAGTAAACAAGAGTGCACACACTGAAGCTTCTAGCCTTCTTTACTGATTATGATTAAATTATATATGTTAAAAAGCCTTTTAGATCAAAGTCTTCGTAGACATGCAGGTATAAAAGAAACTTTACATTATCAAAGATCCATTAAAATAAGGGCAAGGTCAACAGGGCTCACACTACTTCAGAATCATAGGGAGAAGTGACTTCTCTTTTTGAAATTGAGAGGGAGAAGTGGTGAGATTTGAAAGAGAAGTGCTTGTTCGCTCGCGGCGCTACAATGTTTGGTTTTTACTATAATACATTAAGGGCCATATGTATCTTATTTTTTTTATATTGTTCAATTTGTACCTGGGTATACAATTAAAGTAACTGTTCAAATTTAAAGTTGTTTAATTTTATCATATCTAGTTGCACAATCATATGAGTCCTCTTTTCAGAAAAACAATTAAATATCTGGCACTAATAAAAAAGATTTTGTGTGGAATGCGTAATTTTTCCTTTTGGGATCAATTTTTGTCTGTCAGCAGTGCCATTCATGCGTCCATAGTCATTATCGTAAAAATCCGGATTTCGGTCACAGCAGGTCCGTTTCCGATGAAATCCCAACTCCGATCCGTAGTTGTACAATAATATGCCCAATAATTCAAATGGCGGACGAAGAAAAATTTACAAAAAATAAACGATGTTTGACACGCTATTTGGAAAGGAATATGATGTTTTTAATGCAATACAAGGATAACAAATTTTTTTCAGACAAATTTCATCAAGTTCTAATGAAGTAACAACTTATTTTGTCGAAAGTTAGAATGATTTGATGTACGCTCTCCGAGTAACAAGTACTGGAAGTGATAAAAAATTGTTTTTATGAAATAACATGCCACCAACTTTGAAATCAATGCTTTAACCTCTTTTCTGAAGAAAATAAATCGTTTATGCCTTGAATTTCTTTACTTCTAAATGAAAAATTGCTGTTTCATCGTCTTGGTAAAAATTGAATATTGCCGATGACAAACGCGACTGAAAGCGAGTATCGTAAACCACAGGGTGACTTGTTTTCTCTTTTGAGGGTCTGGCAAAGCGAAGTGAAGGACGGGAAAGCGACTTCTTCGCCCTAGTCGCCTGGTAGCGTGAGCCCTGGGTCAGATTAACCCTGTCATTCTTTACATCAAATAGCATGGACAAAGTTGATCTATTACTTATAGTGTGTAAGATACAGACCTAATCACAAAAACTTAAGGTTGACCAATGAACAATGAGAATGAGGTCAAGGTCAGATGAAACCTGTAAAACAGACAAGGTCATGTGTTTCTCAGACTGTTTATGACGTCTGTACACTAAACCTGTTGGATGTGTACCAATTGATATTTTAGTCTTGGAGAATATGATTTATTTATAATAATTGGTTGTAACTGGCTTTGATCTAGCTTTGAGTAACTGTGACTTCTCATTTCTGTGCTTTGTATCTATTGTTTTTATATTATTTTTTTTAAGCCTTGTTACAGATCTTTTGAGTTAAGCTATTTGCTACTGATTTTTACAGTTTGTTCTTATGTTGTGCTGTTACATCACTTTCCCTGGTAAGGGGAGGATTGAGTGCTAACAAACATGTTTAACCTCTCTACATTGTTTATGTGCCTGTAGTTTAGAGGTTGTAGTTGTCTGTCATATTTGTTTTTTGTAAATTGTTTTGTTATAAATTATGTTATAGTTTAGGCTGTTAGTTTTCTTGTTTGAATTGTTTTACATTTTTTTGTCGGGGCCTTTTTTAGCCAACTATACTGTATGGGTTTTTCTCATTGTTGAAGGTGATCAGTTGCCTTTAATTGCTTACATCCACTTCATTTAAACTCTGTTGGATAGTTGTCTCATATATTGGCATTCATACCACATCTCCTTATTTTCATAATGTTCATCTTTCCCCTTGCAAAAGGTCATTGAACTGTGAAAATGAGGACACTGGACATATGCCAGGCGGAAACCTCTGAGGATAAGGCATTTTTAAACCTGATTTACATAGAGACTGTTTAAGCTCTTCTATTCTCTGAAATATGAATCTTTATACGAAAAGTTATCACTATATTATCTACTTTCTCCCAAGTCACTTTATACCATCATCAATATAATTTGAATCTTTGTAAACCAAATACATGTATAACCGAACAAACTCTCTATCAAGAAACTGTCTGGATATAAGACAGATTTCACTTTACTAATACATTTGTTATTTGCATGTACAAGAAATAAATTCTAATAAAAAAATTGATAAAACAGATGTGGCTAAAATTTTTATAATCTCTTAATAAAATTTTTCCTGATATTTGATCTGCAAATATTGCTGCAATCTTCATATTTAGAAACATACAAAACAAAAATCATCAATGGCTCTATTCGCCTCAAAACTTTAAAAAAAGAAAGTTTATACAAAAATCTTTGTTTGTGTACTGGGCTGCAAGTCCTCAAGATTCTAGAGCCTGCAGCAAACAATTTCAATCTTTGATCTCGGCAGCAGTAAACATAATTCACTTTAAAACAAGAACCAGATCTCATTGTAGTACAATTTTAATACAATTAGCAAGAATCCTTTGAAATTAGACTTTCTTTGAAGTACGGAAATATTTCAGTGGATATCAAAATCTTATTTCCCAGTTTCCTGATTTATATAGACTCAATGATAAAAATTTCTTTCATCTTGTTCTTTTCAAATCAGTACTTCTATATCAATATTATATGTATAGGAATTCTACATAATTTTTCATTTCTTTTATGCGTGTTTATAGGAATTTGAAATGATTACTCTATCTGTAACGTATGTTTATAGGAATTTAAGATCGTAATTATTTTTCTTAATACAATATTCTTGGCAGAATTACTGGAAATACCTTACAATTATTCAGTTTAATATGAATATCATACATTTGTACAAAGATTAGATAGAAAATGTGTTCTTTGTACTTCATTTGTACTTTGAATACAATTGAAGATGAATTCCATTTTATATTACAATGTGAATGCTACAGAGATTCAAGGAGGCAGTTTAATAAACCTTATTATTATAGGCATACATTGTTGTTCAAATTAGTTCAACTTCTCAGCACTGAAAATGTCAAAGATTTGCATAATTTAATTGTGTAAATTCTTATTTAATGCACTTAATCATAGAACTGTTAGCGAACAATAATTGATGTTAATATGCTTCTCTGACGTATTATGCCATTTAATGTTATACATATGTTTTGCATTTGTTCTTGTACTGATAATCATAATGTGTTTAAAGTAATGAAGAAGTGAATTGTACCTCATACGTAATCATCACGCTTTCACATGCAATGGTTAAATTTCACAATTAATAAAATTTGATTTGATTACCGTATATTCAGTAAACTATTGTGTGTATTTATTAATGCTATTGTTGGTCTGTGAAGATAAATTAATATTGCATAAGGAAATGTGTGAAGGAATTCAAAATGGGAGTCCTAAAATGCCCAATGTGGACAGCAAATTCCCAAACTATTTTTTACAACAACAAAATTCCAGGTTTTTTTCATGAATTATCAAGGACCTTATTCATGTATTTTTAAATTAACATTAGCATGTTCTAAAACAGGATACCAGCTGAGGTAATAATTACTTAGGCTGAGAAAAAAAAAATCTGTGTTTCCGGTAACCCGACCGACCCTGTTTTTTTAGCCCCGACCCTAATTTTTTTATTGGATCTTCAAAAAAAAAAAAAAAATTGGTATCAACCGACCCTGTTTTTGACACAGGCTTCTGTTAATCGACATAATTATTTATCTAACTGCACAGAAAGCCAGTAAAACATTTTATTTATGTCAAAAGGTATTCCAAATAGGTTAAAATCCAAGAAATTTGCACAGCAGGACGCTTCAAAAACATTGCAAATGGCCGCACTTACGGTATTTGAAACTAATTACGGACACGGACTTGGAAAAACCATGATAATTTTCCGGATTTCGTTTACAATGTAAAAAAAAAAAAAAAAAAACTGATCTACCGACCCTATTTATCAAAATGATGTTACCGGAAACACAGATTTTTTTTTTTAGGCCTTATATTACACATAACCTCTTCTTGTTATTATAATAAAGAGCAGCAAATTCAGAAAATTTAGGATTCGTGGAAAAAATATTACCTTTTCCCTGTAGATTGTTACTTTAATTAACAAAGCTATAAACTGGTCCACTGTTAAACTGACATGAAACTAATATATCTTTATCTGATTTTGTATTAAAATGCTGATTTTCATCAGTAAATTGTAATCTGGTAAAAATATAGTTCATCTGAGTTCTTTGAAAATTTAAAAATAAATAAAAATAAGATTTTAAAAAGGATTAAGTTTGGTAAGTATAATTGTTAAAGAATAAAGAATATATTATTGTTGATAAAAAAAAAAGTTTGGTAAGGGTCATTATTAAGTTCAATGTTTCAAGGTAAATGATGTTTTAAGTCGATGAAAAGACATGCGATGAAAAGACATGCGACATGCGACAAAGTAAAATAGACCTATTTTTGTTAAAGTTTTATTTTAAGGCATTGATTTTTACATCCCAAAATATAATTTATGTCAGTTATAATGTATTTCTTCATTTTTCTCAATTTCTGCTCAATAAACAAAAAACTTAAAATGGACATGCTGACACCAGATCTTTGATAATCTCTCATGATATTATTATATATTTCTTAAAGTCAAGGACATTAACTTAGCTTGAACATTAAATAGACAACTGTTTACTATTGAAGACTATATATATGTTCACCTTAAGATGTCCTGTTACGATGTAGGTTGCTATCTTATTTCGGCTTACCTTTCTCCCCTTCTCTCCTTTTATTATTCCATCCTATATGAGGGTTTGACACATCAAAATGACCATGTGAACAAAGTTCCAGTTTACATGTTTTGTACCACACTTAATTTTAATGCTAAAACTATTTTG